TGCATTTTAAGAGTTAAAAACTGGATGCAGGAATTGAAAATGTATGTTGCTGTGTTGTACCATGGCCACGCCCCTGTAGAGAGTCTTTGAAGCTGAAAATCTATCTTTGAAGCTCCTTCATCCATTCATTTTATTTATCATCCACATTTTTCTCAACAAGGGGGCTGAACACAACTTAACAAAATATTTTTTCTTTTAAAAATGACATTAAGTATAGCATGCCTCCTTAAAACTCTGTTTTGTGACTGAGACATGTTACATGGATTCAGTGCAGAAAATTTACTTTCACATGACTTTTTAGTGGATGTAATGTTTCTCTTACCAACACATTTGTATAATATTCTGTGGTTATTATTTCTTTCTGTTTAGAAAGAAGCCACAATTTGTCAAGAATAAGCATCTTTCCTCGTAACATCTAGTTTTAGAGGGTCTAATCTGGTTCTTAATAACAGTAACAGTCTTAGAACTGCAGATCTGGAAAGAGCCCTATTGATCATTGAGTCCAGTTGGGAATTGAACTCCCAGCTTCTGGCTTTGCCGTCAGATACTTAAACCACCGAGCTACCAGCAGTTCTTGTTACATTTTCTAGTGTCTCAATGAAGCAAAACTAAGCAAGAAAAGAAAACACTAGCCACAATATCACATAGCCTTACTGTGAAATACATGTGGAAGATACAAGTTACTAATAGCCGTACGATTAAGGTGAGATGCAGTTTGACATAAAAAACCCCACAACTTTTCTTTTTCTCTGATACCTGCTTCTAAGCAATAAAAAACAAGCAACTTTTCATAATAATCATGATACTTAAAATGGGGGGGGGTGGGAGGAAGAAGACAGAAACGGTCCAAACAATGACCATCCATGAAACAGTTTCTAAGGACACAAAGCCTCTTCTGTAGGTTTTACATTATGAATATGGGAACTTAGTCAAAGCAAATGTTAGTTAAAAAAAAGCTGTTTACCAAAGGAAAGGCTGTTAAACATCTTATACAGAAGGCTGTATTGTTATCGCAAATCAATAAAATGAGAAATGGATGGCAGTGCAGCTGTAAATACTAAAACTTGAAGGAAGGTCACCACTTAGGCTGGAAATCATGAACACCGTCTTTAGGTGACTTTCAGCTTTTGAGAAGTCTTTGCATGTCAGCTTTAAAAACACACACACACACACACAGAGAGAGAGAGGAAATGATTTCAATTCACTGTACACCAACACTTAAAAGAGCTGTTGAGAGCACAGTGTGCTGGAAATAAGTCAAAGATGAATAAGTCAAAGATTTTGTCTCCTTGTATTTTGGGTGAGGGGGTAGAAAAATCATACTGTACACTCCTGACAATCTGTAAGATGCTGCCAGGCTGAGGGGCAGCTACCGAGTGATTTTATCCCCACTGTCCTATCTACTGACAGCATGGTAAACTTCACTCTAATTCTAAGCGATCACATTACATTTAATGTAAAGCTAATCTTGAAGCAGACTGTCCTTTTCCGGCCTCCATTTGTCTCAGTATGTCACTTTT